ATACCCCCCCCCCCAAAAAAAAAAAGATGAGACAACACTGCTAACTGCAGGGACCTCCAAAACTGGACCCGCTGCCTTTCATATTGAGCAATTACAGAACCCTAAACCCTAAGCCCTCACACCCTAAACCATATTAAGCAAGTTACAGAGTGAAGCCGCTCCGACAATTCCTCTGCACTGCAGTTGCGGAGCTGCTTGAGGGTTTGCCTGAATTTCAAGTGGTGCTTTGCGGGCAGGCTTGGCGCCTACGGCCACTCGATCAGAGTTTGAGGGGTAAGGGTTATCATCGGATGTCGTTTCATTGTATCCCCCAATGGAAATAGCGCTCACAAATCCTGTGTCGACTTACCAAAACCACAATCAAGCCGCTTCCATCCCTTGATGTTTAGGGTTGAGGTTTAGAGCATAGGGTATGCAGGAGTTTGGTCTAATGATCTGGAATAACCCTCGTGCTGTCGAGGCTAACATCATATTAAGCTCACGCATGGCATGGCGAGCTTGGCCTAAGTATGGGCCCTCAATCCTGGCCGCACATGAAAACCCTACAAACCAAATCGTGGCCAATAGTCAGGACCCAGGAAATTGGCAGGGGCGTATGTTAGGGGGCTTCCAAAATTGGTGGGTCCGGGCGGTCTCCAAAGTAAAGACTATGGTATTTGATAGATTCAGGGGCACCCCTATTCTCGAAAGACCGCAGAAATGCTCATGCCCCACACGGACTCAGAGTCATGTGTTTTCGGCATAGTTTTGGGGCAAGCTTGATCTGATAAAGCCTCCCTTCATAACAAAAGTCCCCCACCTCCCTGACAATGAATACTTCCCCAGAAACATGATGGTACTTTTGTTTGTGAGTAGTTATCCTCAGGGGTACGGGGCGTATTGTCATTAAGGATAGGGCTTACCTCAGTGGCTACGGTGATTCTTTAGCAGCCTGCCTCTTGCAATGTTCTTCAAATATTCTTAAGCAGCTCAGAATTCTCCAGGCAGATGGTACGACAGTGCACGGGGTATCGGATCGTCTAATAAAGAAGTACATGAGGCTTGGTATCCAGGCTGTTAGGGCTAGTTATCTGGGGTGCTGCCGCCCATGGACAGGAAAACCATTTGCGAAACGATGGCCCACCTTACCTCTGGCTAGCAAGGAATGAAGGAATGGGAAAGACAATGCAAACTACTACAATATGGGGAAACATATGGGAACTGCTACAGGAATACCTTCCGAATTCCCTGCTGGCCAGTGTAAAGCACGTTCATGACGAGCGTACGAAGGATACCGATGGTCTTGAAGCGGAGGATTTGACAATACCCGAGTCAATTGGCAAAGGAACGGGTCTGTTTGATAGACTGAGGACTTTGACTATGGACGGCCCATGTTCAGGCTTAGAGTGTAGGGAAATTAGAACATTCAAGTGCGGCGCGATTTTGGTGAATTTCCCGCATCTACGTTAAGGTCATAGCCTGTGCCCCGAAGTGGGTACTTCAATAAGGGTACACCGGGAGATCTAGTAGCTTGCTATCCAACACACACAAACATCTACATACATGACATCAAATACCCTCTGGTGAATCGCGACGTAGCCTGTAGAATCATAGCAAGTCTGCCAGCGGAAGAGCAACTACATGGTGCCTACAGCAGAATGACAAGATCCCCAAAGTAGTCCCTGCCTATTACCTCAAGAAACTCCTTATCATCCATTCCCCACTTCGCAATGAAGCACCAGAAAGAAAAAAAGGCTTTCACTGAATCACCTCGCTGCCAGTCATTGGCCATGTTTCGCATGAGATCTGCTGCAGACAGGTTTGTCAGGCGGTTGCGGTCTGAAAGTCGCAGCGCCACATTCCTTACTTTCCTAGACCTACCCCTAGGGATCCAAATAGCCCAATGTTGGGTTTATCCCCTATAATGGAAAATGAAATGGAAGCTAGGAGCTTATAGGGGTGTAGAGGGATCCAAACAGCCCAATGTGGGTAATATTTACAGACATTGGGGCCAAATGTAGGTTTTATTTTTGTACTTGGAGTCCTAGGGTACTCGATGTGAGGTTAAGATGTATGACGTCAGCAACATCACACCTGCTGAACACTGTTTTATAAACGCAGCACTCCATGACACAAAACGCAGGGCCACAAATACTCCGCTTACCCTATATGTGAGGGCCGGGATTGAGACAGGATAATGCCGAGCGAAGCGAAGAAGATGTTTCTTCGGGCCCCTGACTGGCTTCTCAAAGTTACACTTCTGCCTGCTTCTTTGAGAACCCCCTGGAATCCTCCCAAACTTACTGGCTCTTAGTAGGGATAAGGGAATACAATCCCTATGAACTACCTATATAATGCATTGCTCGTTCAATACTAACCCCCAGCAAGCAAAAGGCTTCTTATCAGCCAATCCTGCAAGCCACAAGCTGAGAAGACCGTGCAGGAACAAGCGCCCAGTGCGCAGCTCATCTATTGTCAAGCTCCTCTAAAAGTAATAATAGCTGTAGTAACAGTCATTTTAGAAATAAGAAGATTGATAGTGGCAATACAAATAAGAATAAGAATGGTAGTAGTAGTAGTAGTAGTAGTAGTGATAATAATGATAATATCTTTAGTAGGCTCCTCCAGGTCTGCCGAGCAGTCTCCCCCTGAACCTGAGCTAGGGAATAAAGGAACAATATAATGTTTAGGGTTCGTAGGGAATGAGGCAATACATCCTAAAGGGCATCAGTGAGTGAGCCTGGCCATAACGGCTATATAGGGCTTACGTTTCATGATCGGGGCAAATTGTTTCCCAAACACCCTTGGAGCCTGACCTTGAGAGAAACACGCGGGACAAGCAACATGCATCAGGTCTAATGGCAGCAGCCTAGAAACGACGCTGTAGCCTGGACGCCCCACACGCCTTTCCCATCCGCCATTGCGTGTATCACCCAGACGTCGGTTGCCCTGTTGCAGCTGATGCTCTCGACCGCCAATCTGTGCTCCACATTCCGGGCATCTGGTCTGTTGCATGGGTCGAGTGCACTCCCCTATGGTGTACATGTAGCCACAGGAGCACGCATGGACACCTAGGTTCCCTGAGGCTCCCATGGCCACAAGGATGGCTGCGGTCTCGTCCCCTGGCATAAATGGTAGCAGGACTTGCCGGAGATCGCCAGGCTTAGTCAGCAAGCGGTGCCAGAAGCTCCTCCTATCCTCTAAACCTGAATGATTCCAGCGTGCCAAGCGCAAATAAGAATATAGGGTTCGGGCATGCCAAAGGCCGAACAGCGGACTACTAATTTTTGATAGCAAGCTTCTTGCTGAGTGATATAATTCCTGTGTCGTATTGTTTGTCTGCTGAGGCAACATTTGGATGCTTCTCAGAATTGGGGCCCCTCAGCACGCTCTGAATACGAGCGTCCTGATGATGGAGAGCACCCAAAAAACAGACCCAAAACTTTTCTAAACACTACCAAGGATTCTCTTCAGCGCCAGGTGCAGGACGGGGCGAATCATGAAGACCCAGTCGGAAGTCCGATTGCTGTGTACCTACCGCAGTTGCAGTGAATCTTTGAGGGTAGGGAGGGTTCTGTGTCATTCAGGGCCTGGCAGCGCCAAAGCTAAAAAACAAAAGCTGGTGCACTCCCCCAAACTAAGACGGAAGCCCCAAGCCAAACGCAAAGACTAGTGTCCGCGGCACGTGGTATAACGTGTATGCTTCCATGTTGACACATTGGGGGCCCTTATGAGACCGAATTAAGGTCCTTTGCTTTTGTCCCCTGGTGGAGGGTTTCAGGACCGCTTCAGCAGCCCTCTAGTCAACAGGAAGAAGACCATTGCCCGAACCTGAATCTTGCGAAGCTGTGTTTGGCTTTACCACCGTTGGACGACACAGACGCTCGTTAGTCTGCGATGTACAATAGGAGCTGTTAGGGGTTCAGCGTTGAGGAGTACAGTCGCGGGGGCCCCTAAATACAAATGTACTTGCAGTTGGACTGGCACCCACAAGACCCGGGTAGCCGCCAAGGGGAAATGCCAGCGATATGCATATAAAGAACTCTGACTTACAGGCTGATCGTTTGCATAGCATTTTGGACTATGGGCTCTCTTGGAAAGTGGGTTGTTGCTTGGTAAAGAGTCTTACTCTACTCGCGGCGCCTGCCAAGCTGAGCAGTCTGGGAAGTTGGTGAGCAGAGCAGTTAGCAAGTTGTGCTCCAGCCCCTCGTGGACTGAAATTCTCTCGGCCAGAGGCATGACCTGATGGTTCACGGTTGGCTTGGTTCAGAACTTCGGTTTCCGTTTAGGGTTCAGGGCTTAGTCATACCCAGGGACTTGTAAGAGGCGGGAGACAGCACATGCACAACATGGGGCACGTTTCGACTGCAACAAAAAAGCGGCAGGACGTGCGGCACAAGTCTGTGTGAGCCATAGATAGAACTTGTAGACACTTGGGGGATGTTGGGCCGAAGTTTAGCTCCTGCCCCACAGGACCCATCGAACGGCAAGCAAAAAAGAAGGTACGTACTGCTCAACGCCCAACACGAAGGCTCTATTGCTCGGATACCCCTCCATACCGCAACCACAGCTGTTGGGTTTCGCCCAACAGTAGTAGGGAATGAAAGCATGGATTATAAGGATCAGAACTGGAATAGAAAGGGACTATCAAACAACCTCAGTTTCCCACTAACCAACAGTATGTAGGGTATAGTAGTTTCCAGTTTCTTTTCCATTATCCCAATAGAACCCCTATAGAACCCCTATATAACCCCTATATAACCCCTATATAACATAGTAGCTAAAGAGCTTGCTTCAGCATGGCCACCTGGGAGCGGAAGTGGCCCAGGTATTGCGTGGAGAAGATCGCCATGATCTTTGTGAGGCTGTCGGCCGTCCGCAGGTGTGCGCTGGAGTGCTGTGGAACTGCCTTGCTCTTAAGGATGTCCTCCTTCAGCAGTGCATATTCCCTTGGCTTGCCAATCAGAAGCTTATGCACGAAACCAAAGTACAGTACAGTTCCTACCAAGATGCGCACAACATAACGGTGTTCTTCTGCTCTTCAGGTTTCTTTTTCATGGGTCATTGACCGCCAAGGCTCTGCATGCTCAGCTGTTCGGTCACAGGTAGTATTACACCCCACAAAAGAACTGCGTGGAGATTCACGGGTAGTCAGGAGAATTTCTGAAGCACCTGTAAGAAGTGTAGGACAAGATACAAAAATGCTGTCAACACCACTCCCATGGCCATCCATGGACCTCCAGGTAGTATATGATCAAGTGCAACCTGGGGATCTCCTGATTTTTTTTATCATTTTTCAGGACTTGCACAAAGTGGCGCCCTTTTTTCCAAACCCCTGTCTAAATGTGCCAAAAGGGGGCTTTGGCCGTGTTAGACGGACGTCAGGAAAGATCTTTACTTCAAGTTGAAAGCCACACTGCTTTGAAGGCTGATCATTTTTGACTTAGAAAAAGAAAGACCCTCAGGCTTAGGATTCTACAGGAATTGCCTCTGTGAAGTCCGAAAGCTTAAGGTTCGTTAGGTCCGGCGCGTGCCCCTCAGTAGAACTCTCACATCTTTCCTTGTGCTTACTTCCTGTGAAGGATGGACGTAGCGGGTGTGAGCATGCTGGATCAGGGCTTAGGGATCATGCTTGATTGTTCTGAGGTTTAGGGTCTACAAGGGCTTCATGGGTCCCGAAAAGATCGGGCCAAGATAAGATTGCGTCACTCAACAACAACGGTCATGAACACCACATGGGTGTTGGTGTTGATGCTACAACCATGTTGACCATGACATGCCTAGGCTCGAAATCCTGAGTCCCCTGCCCGCTTTGGCCGCGAACAATTGACACAGAAGCGAAAAGCAGGAAGAGCCAGAACCAAAAGCGCACCAAACCCGGCATAATGACATCTCCTCCCCCTTTCCCAATATAGTACCATTCTAGCCTAGGCGGAAACGTATATATATATACATATATATACACATATACACACACATAATAGTAGTTAGGGGGTGATTGATTTTATTGAAAGGGGAGAGGGGATTCCAGTTCAGGACCCTAGCTTCTGCCCAAGAAAGACAGGCAGTGCGAGGCAGTCGCTGGGGCAAATCTCCTGTGCGAGACTGGGCCCGGAGTCAGGGTCTTTGGGGTCAAAAACCGCAGCCGCGGCCGAAATAATGGTTTAATGCTTAAGGTCCAGGGTTTAGGGTTCAGGGGTTTATAGGCTCTGAAAATTACCGATCTCCTTTGAAGGTGTATTTGAGGCACCCTAGACCACAGGCATACCAGGAATCTTGGACCATCATATTTGTAATGATTTGGGCCCCCGTAGTAATTATGGCAGCTCATGGGGCAATTGCAGACAAAAACCAAACGAGCCTCCAACAACGAGCGAATTACGAAGGAAGTCAGGGTTTGAGGTTAAAGGCATCTTCAGCAGTAAACCCCACCACTATGCACATAGCACTAGAATTCGGGTTTTGGATTTAGAGCTACGGGTTAACAACCTTGAAGCCTTCCGCCCAAGCTGAATCGCAGAACTCTAGCCCCCTCCCCCAATTACACATATTCCCAATATGCGAACCACAGCATTCTACCAGAATACATAGGGAACTTGCCGAGGAGCCTTGTTGAATACGTACTTGCCTGTGAACCTTATGACCCTGACGCCCGGGCTCCCTCATATACACCACAAATACTACAACCCATGCTGTATGGCCAGCATAGAAAGGACCCCTCATTTCCGGAAAGCCCCATCTTCCTGCACGAGCGCACTGGCTGGAGGCAGCCCATCACTGATGGCCGGCAGCTGCAGAAATCGCCATTCCAACGCCCCTGCGCTTCGATCTTTGAGCTGAGCTAGCCTCAGATCACTCTCTCCCGGTCCGGAGTTTAGGGGTCTTGCATGCTGCGCGGCTGCCCACCTTCGCAAGGCCTTTCTCAGTGGTAGCAAGTAGCAAGAGGTATGAAAACCGAGAACAACCAGTCAGACTAGAAAGTCCCTTACCTCAGATTGAATTGATTAAAGCCCAAAATCCTTACTAGTACTAATAATCTGGCTGCCGTGGGCCCATATTCTTCATAGTTACAGCTCGGTAAGTGGTATTTGGTAATCATTCAGGCTCCTACACCTAAACCCTAGGCCCTATAAACCCGAAACCCTAAATTCAGGCCCCTGCATTAGGCCTTTCCCAACACAGAGGAGTGCCTCGAGTCACAGGCCTTGCTGGCTATAGATCCTAAATGCCAAAATGAGGTTTGAGGACTTAGGTTTAGGGTTGAGAGATCGGGGTATCTTTTTGGGGGTTCTTTGGAGTTACCAATTTCTACGTGCTTCGGACAGCATTTGCCGCATTGTCCCTGCATGATTTCAGGCAAGGTGCTCGATCCGATCCATCTTCAGACTCCTCAGACACGGGTCCCTCTTGCGGGTCTAGATAAGTCGGGAGATAGGGATTGGAGTTCTGTGCTTGAAGAACGTCTGCAAGGAACTCTGTTAAGAATGGCGGATGCACGCTGGGCTCAATGAAGTCATGGAGCGAGGGGCCCTTCAAAGCTCATGCTTGCAGTCATTGGTTTTGCGGCTACACTGCAGTGGAAATCCCGACCTACAGGGCGACCAAATCTCATACTGCCCCACAACAGCTGGAAACCCATTGCTACATCGTTGAAGCATGCAAGCAGGAGAAGCAATGGCAACTCAAGTAGGCTGGGATCATGCAAACGCCCCAAAGAGAATAGCTTTCTAGCACTTCCCCAAAACACATGTCGAGACCCAAGGCATTTGAAACACTACGGTTTCATACGGATTTGGATAGACAACTTCTGAAGAAGGAAACCGATAACTCTGGTAGCATAGAACCCTGAATCCCTCACACACGGAACCCTAAATCAGGCACGCTGCTTGACCAGAAACACCTCGAGCGTCCGTCGAGAGGGGCCTGTGGTGCCGTCTGCGGCACGGAGGAGCTCGCAGGTCACCTGTCTACTTGGCAGTTTCCCAAAAACAAGGGTTTAGGGTTTAGGGTTTAGGACCCCAATGTAGACCCCATAGTATTACAATCCGTACTATGGGGACCCCAAAAATGGTACTCCTAATTTTGGGAAACTA